GCCATGTGAATAATTTTTTTTTTAAATAATTAAAAAAAAAAAAAAAAAAAAATCAATCCAAAGGGGGGGGGGGGGGAGGGGGGAGGGGGTTTAGGCTTCTTTTTTTTGGGGGAGGGGGGGGGGATGGGGGGGGGGGGTTACACACATAAAAATACAAAAAAGGGGGTTTAACCGGCTGGCTATGCGTATTATAACCAACACGAAAAAGCCATCAAAAAGCAAACATTGGCATTGGCTTGAATAAAACGTATAAGGCGCTATCTCGTTTTTCAACGGCTGGTTTAAAATTACCGAAAATTTGTAGGGCACCACAAATATTAGAAATGGTTATATTTATGGATATTTCAGTAGTTCTCAGAACCGATTTTGATCTTGATTTTGTCATTTGAATTGTATATTCTTTCAAATTTGACACTCAGTTTTTCATTATCTCACCATTTTTTTTTGTGTAGCGCCCTCTGCAACAAAACTCAACTATTCCTTTAACAACTTTATTATTGATATCCTTACCAAGTTTGGTCATGTTTAAGTATGTTTCTTGAAAATGTGACAGATTACAGCTTACATCTAAAAGTATTCAACAAAGGACCTAATTCAACCAGTCCGCCTTCCATTCTTGAGTTACAAAAAAAAAAAAAAAAATTAGATTTGCCATGGGTTTGAACAATTTAACTGTTTGTTGGTAGCGTCCTTTTTACAAAAAGCGTACCCCGACGACGAAGATGATGGTGATGATGATTATTCTTTTTGGACCCTCCGACAGGCCATTTATTGATGATAAATATCTGAATAACATATTTGAATACATGTACAAATGAATATCATATGAAACATCAGAATAAGATATACGTATAATGAATATAATAGCGATGAACCCGATCAAACGTATAGCGGACGATGTATACAACGTAATAGCTGCAAAATTGGAGGAGCAAGTTGTGGAGAAAGTGTATCAAGCTGTCAGTTTGGATTTGAAGAAATAGAAGACAGACGAAGCTCGGTCTTACAGTTCAACCGGATAGATAGCAGTCACCGCCAGGGGCGTCGCTAGACCTTTTTCAGTCGGGGGGGGGGGGGGGGGGGTGAAGAGGCCAACAAATTACCGACAAAACTAGCCACCAATTACCGAAAAAATTAAATGTCCAATATCTACAAATTCAACCCTATAAACCTGGGGCCGACTATCTATCTATAGTATCTATAGTACTTGCATATGCGCAAAATGGTCATTTTCCTCGACGACATAAATATACGAATCATTTCTTCAATTAAGTCAGCATCATAGCTATATATTTTAATGCAGGCGCGGAGCTAGGATCTTATTTTATGGAGGGGCGGTAGTGAGCAAGAGAATCACTTAAAAGCGCGCTCATTAGTTGGGTATGGGTGATTGGCCTTAGACGTTAGGCTTAGACGTTTTCTTAAATTATTAGGAGAAGAAGACGATTAATTGTACCGTTTTCGACTGGTAATCCTTGGCTGTATGAATCCCCCTCCCGCGCCAAGCGCGAAAGCTTTGACGTTCCATTAAATTATTATAAAAAAGAAGACGATTTGCTGTACCGTTTTCGACTGTTTATCCTTTTCTGAATTCAGTTCCCCCCTCCCGCGCAAAGCGCGGAAGCTTTGACGTTTCATTAAATTATGAGGAAAAGCAGACGATTCGGTGTACTGTTCTCGACTCTTAATCCTTATCTGAATGAAGCTTCCCCCTCCCGCGCAAAGCGCGGAAGTTTTGACGTTTCATTAAATTATTAGAGAAAGAAGACTATTGGTCGTACCGTTTTCGACTCTTAATAAGCCCTATTCATCCGAATTCAGTTCCCCCCTCTCACGCGAAAGCTTTGACGTTTCCTCATATTATTAGAGAAAGAACACGATTCGTTGTACCGTTTTGACTCTAAATAAGCCCTATTAATTTTGTCTGAATTCAGTTTCCCCCTCTCGCGCGAAGCGCGGAAGCTTTGACGTTTCCTTTAATTATTAGAGAAAGAACACGATTCGTTGTACCGTTTTCGGCTCTAAATAAGCCCTATTAATTTTGTCTTAATTCAGTATCCACCTCTCGCGCGAAGCGCAGAAGCCTTGACGTTTCCTTAAATTATTAGAGAAAGAACACGATTCGTTGTACCGAAACGCGGAAGCTTTGACGTTTCACTAAATTATGAGAAAAAGCAGACGATTCGGTGTACTGTTCTCGACTCTTAATCCTTGTCTGAATTCAGTTTCTCCCCCTCCCGCGCGAAGCGCGGAAGCTTTGACGTTTCATTAAATTATGAGAAAAAGCAGATGATTCGGTGTACTGTTCTCGACTCTTAATCCTTATCTGAATGAAGCTTCCCCTACCGCGCGAAGCGTTTCATTTGACGTTTCATTAAATTATTAGAGAAAGAAGACGATTGGTCGTACCGTTTTCGACTCTTAATAAGCCCTATTCATCCGAATTCAGTTTCCCCCTCTCGCGCGAAGCGCGAAAGCTTTGACGTTTCCTCATATTATTAGAGAAAGAACACGATTCGTTGTACCGTTTTGACTATACATAAGCGCTATTATTTTTGTCTGAATTCAGTTTCCCCATCTCGCGCGAAGCGCGGAAGCCTTGACGTTTCCTTTAATTATTAGAGAAAGAACAGGATTCGTCGTACCGTTCTCGACTCGTCTAAATGAAGTTTCCCCTTCAGCGCGAAATTTTGGGCGTTTCATCAAAATATAAAGAAAGGAAGACGATTCGTCGTACCGTTGTTGACTCTTAAACCTTGTTAGAATTTAGTTTTCCCCGGAAATTTTAAAGCTCTGATTTCTTTAGCTGATATTAGAGGCAATTGAAACTTCGAAAAAATACAAGTATTGTAGTTGTAGTCACTCTTGAAGTCGTCACAGAGGATAAGAAGTAACAGTTCGTAGGGAAAAAAACTTGTCGGCCGACCGACAATATACATCCCACCGACTTCAAACTTCTGCATTGATATAGTACACGAGGATCGAGCAAGAATACCGACACAGCTGACCCGACACAGCAACATATTTAACCGTGTCTTTCTTGCTCCCTCGACGAGACGACTCCATCCATCAACCCCCTTCTCTCTTTTACTCCCACTCCTCCTCTCTCAGACTCTCTCTCCTCTCTTTCATCCCCCGTTTCTTTTGTTTCCCTTTCACTCTTTTTACTTCTTTTTTTCCTTCTTTCTTTTCTTTCTTTTCCTTTCTTTCCTCTCCTCCCTCTTTTTCTTTTTCTCTTTCTTTCTTCTCTTTTCTTTCCTTTCTTTCCTTTCTTTTCCTTTCTTTCTTTTCTTTTCCTTTTTTTTCCCCCTCCCCCTTTTCTCTTTTTCCCGACGGCTGCGCATTTTTACCGACAATATCCTGACAGGTGGGGGGGGGGGGGTGTCGCACCCCCACACCCCCCTTGCCCTTTGGCGACGCCCCTGGTCACCGCATCTCTCCACGTCCGAGCCACGCTGCTGACGAGGGACGCGAGTCATCGACTTCGCCACCGTACGCGAGTACTACGAGGAGGAACAAACCGAAACCGATCATAGTAAAATTTAGCAGATATAATATCCGTAATTATGTGTAAAGAGCCAGGACGAGACTGAAGAATGTTGATGGACCGAAAATATGGCTAAAGGAGGATCTCACTACAAAGCGAGCTAGCCTCTTTTGGGAACTTGTTAGCATCAAGAAGTCTAAGTCCTGTTGGACTCAGGATGGAAACATCTTCGCTCTAAGTACAAGGGACTAAAAAGACCAGGATCAGAACTACACAAGACATTGAAAACTTGTAAGAACTCCTTTTCCACTCTGTTATATTTCGATAGCTAATTATATATCATGCCTGGACAAATTAATCTGACTCACGTTGAATTTCCATGTTTAGGTTGCCGGAAAGAAGTGAAAGAATATCATAATGCCTCATTATGTGTACATTGTAACAAATGAGCTCATCTGAGATGTACACATGCATCTACTGATACGTTTTACTCTGATGCCAATTGGATGTGTAATTTTTGTAGTCTTAAAGAACTCCCTCGATACGTCGATGAACCTGATATTTGTTCTCGAAATGCGGATGCATGTACTATGAAAGTGTCGATAAATGTTTTGAAAAGCTGAATTCACTCTCTGGTATTAATATTTGCCATTTAAATGTCAGCTCTCTGATGAAGAATTTTGAAGAGATTCGTAATATTTTAACCACATCTAACATGCATATTTTTTCCTTATGTGAAACTCGATTAGATGGTTTTATTTCTAACCCTGAAATATTCATATCAGGTTATAAAATTGTGAGATTAGATAGAAATAAAAATAGTGGTGGAATTATAACTTATATTAAAGATACCGTACCATTCAGTATAAAAAATGAATTCTTTGTTGATGGTTTGGAACTAATGTGCTTGGAAATCTGCTTACCAAAGCAAAAACCCTTCTTAATAGTATATTGGTACAGACCACCAAATTCCCATAATGCACACTTTGAGAAATGTGAAACTTTGTTACAACTCTTAGAGTCATCCTCTAAAGAATTTAATATCTTTTGGGATCTCAATTGTGATTTATTAAAAAAGCCCTATGTCAAGTCAAACGAAAACTCTGAAGCTTTAAGTGAAGAAAACATTTCGAATAATGCAGGTAAATTAAATGCAATGTGGAAATCATTGAGACGTATCATACCTAAAAATGTCAATGATAGCGGTTTTCAAAAGATAATTATTGACAATAAAGAAATAACAGGTTCAAAATATATTGCATCATGTTTGAATGATCATTTTGTAGATTTACCATCTAAAGGGAAGAGAACCAAAATATTTGGTGGTAATATGGATCAGTATATGACTCAAGTAAGCTCAACATTAAAGTTTAAAGAGATAACAGATAATGATGTTTTGAAATGTATTCATGATATTGCAAGGAATAAGGCCACTGGTCTCAATCAAATACCAGCAAGTTTAGTTAAAGATTCTATAGAATAATGAAGAACAATAGAATTGTTAAACCGCTAACTCAAATCATCAATGCGTCATTAAGAAAGGGGACAATTCCTGGTGCCTGGAAAAGGGCCCGGGTGACGCCTATTCACAGAGATGGTGATAGAGCTAATCCACGCAACTATAGGCCAATATCGGTCTTACCTGTATTATCTAAAGTGCTGGAAAACTTGTGTTTAATCAAGTGTATGATTACCTTTCAAAGAATGAACTATTATGTCATAATCAACACGGCTTCCGCCCGAAACATTCGACTTTGACTGCACTCTTATCTCTCACAGAAGATGTTTGTAAACAAAATTAGACAATGGGTATGTAGTAGGTATTGTATTGCTCGACTTATAAAAAGCGTTCGATTTTGTATCGTTTGAGATTTTGCTTAAAAAGCTATAATGGTTTTGATCAAAATTCAATATGTTGGTTTCAGGATTATTTCCATGATAGGGAACAATGCACTTTGGTAGACGGTAGCATGTCACAGATCAGAAAAGTAACAAGCGGAGTGCCCCAAGGAAGTATCCTTTGGCAATTGATGTTTATTATCACTCTGAATGATTTATATAAATCAATCAACAAATGTTCCCTTTCTCTGTATGCGGATGACACTTGCATGTATTTTTGCATCAAAAGACCCAAAGATATATTAGAGAAAGTAATCAATGGTGATTTGAAATCAGCTACGACATGGCTTTAAAATAATGAATTGTTGCTTAACGTTGACAACTGTCAGGTCATGTTAACTGGTTCAAAGTCAAATTTGAGTCGTTTCTGTCACAGATGAAAAAATAGCATTAATACTGTACAAAACCTTTATTCAGCCTCATTTCGCTTATTGCAGCACGATTTGGATGAACGGTACAGAAACTCGGTTAAAACAACTGCAAACTCTACAAAATAGGTGTTTGAGATCTGTACTTGGAGTTAATAGTAGATATCACCTTGAAATTCTTCATAAAACCCTTGAAATTGACATGCTAAAAGAATACTGGGTCAAACAGGCTTTAGTTACTATATTTAAGTTGTTACATCATCTTGGTCCACCTGTCTTATCGTCATCGATCCAACTTAATACTAATATAGGCTATATTTTTCGTTATGCAAATTCACAAATCCCTCTTCCAAGACCGCACAAATTTTCTTCAACATAGTCCATTATACCATGCATCATTTTTTTTTAATACCCTACCAAACGATATCAGAATTATGAATGTTTTAAATCTTACAACATTGAGATTAGTAAAATTCAAGATATTTGCTCTCTTCTTTCGTCTCGATGGTATTTTTTTCCCTTCCCCCTTACTTTGTCACTATGATTCTATTTTGTACTTAAATTTCTGTAAATATGTTCACTTATTATAACTTTGTCACTATGATTCTATTTTGTACTTAAATTTCTGTAAATATGTTCACTTATTATAACTTGCATATTTGTTTGTAAATTGTATTTTCATTGTTTTATATTCTATTCTAATTATGTTCAGCCTCGCTGAAAAACAGCTTTTGCTGAATGCGGGCACAATTGTATTTTTGTTTTTAACCGTGAATAAATAAAATATACCACACCATACCTGTAAAAGTATAACTTATTGATAATAATAACATGATAAGGATAGTATACATACAGAACATGATAATAACAAATTATTAAATACATTTTCTTCATTATTACGCACTTTGTCAAATAATTCAATGCAAATACAAGACCCAATTGGAAAGTTGTAATATGAAAGTATATGGACCTTTATGCCTTGAAGATATTTCATGCTTGTTGGAAGATTAAAAAAAAAGGATGTAGACATATAAATCAAGTCATGCTAAAAGAAAAGGACGATCATTTGAATATCATTATGTAATAGATGGCATGCAGATAGTATTTCAAAGTATAATAAATATATGAAATATTATTTCAGTGTTATGTTTCGCTGTATAATGCATACAACAGTTCGGTACTTCAGTACAGACTTTTAAATAGCTAAGGATACTATATTTGAATAAAGATTTTGTGAAAATTTAAATAATTCTAAATTAGAACTGTTCCCTTTGTGGAAGAGAAGAGGAAGATATGGTGCACTTTTTTTACTCATGTAACGTGACCAAATCGATTTGGAGTCGTTTGATTGACTGGTTATACATTGTAACACGTTGTAGAATAAAACTGTCGTTAATACATGTTTTGTTTGGTTTCATTGAGAAACGAAATTATTTATTATGTAATAATTTGAACTAGACAACAATTATATTTATTCGAATATACAAATCTATACGGACCTTCCAGACAATACAACGACATATCAGGAATAGTTACATAAATGAGAGGCAGGTTAGTATTCTTGCTAACAAAACTGACAAATTTGATTAAAAATGGTTAAATTTGGAGAGGATTTGATCGTTTGATAGTATTATTTAATTGAGTTTCCAAAATTATTTTCAGTAACAATGTTGCATTTTTTTCTTTCTTCTGGAAATGAAGAGTATGTATGTTTATATGTTTATATATATAATTTTTTATTAATCTATTAGGATTATTAATTTTATTATTTTGCTTAACGTTGTTTATTTTATAATTATTATTATTATCATCGTATTTATTATGTGATAAATTAGCATCATTATCATTGTTATTGTTATTATTATTAGTAGTAGTAGTAGTTGTAGTCGTTGTTGTTGTTGTTATTGTTGAACTTGTTTTATTGTCATCACCATTTTTTCTTCATTTTGGTTTATACAGCTGATTTGGGCTGCAACCTCTTTCGTTGGATGTGGCAAGGCTCAATGTGGGGCAAAGACACACCTCGTCTGTAACTACGGACCCGGGTAATTTGATTCGTTGTCATCCTTGCATGGTCATTGTTCCTATTTTGCCCGGGATATTTATACACACACACACACACTATCACAATAACACACACACACACACACACGCACGCACACGCACACATACACACACGCACACGCACACACACGCACACGCACACACACGCACACGCACAAACATGAGTACATGACTGCTTTGAAATGGCACATTGCTTGGAAACGGAATTAGCATATTATGTATTGTTACACTCATAGTCATAATCATATCATATTTATCTTTCTCTATTATGTTGTGGAAAATATATATTGGAGAGACGGGAGATATTGTAAGAATTATAACTTAACATTAACCCATCAGAAAGTAAATCAAATACTGAATGTAAAGTAAACATATTTCAAGATGTGCAATTTAAAAAAAAAAAAAAAATTGTTGGTGTTTGACTGCACAATTCTGTAAATTGAGAACCGTAAACGAAGCTGAACGAAAAACCCCACCCCCCATGAAAAAAGTACAATGCATTTTATCAATATATATTTCAACCACAGCTGAACAAGTTTTAATTAAAAGTAGTGAAGAATGATGGAATTATTTGAATTAAACTTGTCCTTGAGTTGATTCCTCGAAGGTCTTGATATTAAATCGTTATTTTACTATCTTCCAGACCTAACATGTTGTCAGGTCGCCCATACCAATCAGGTACACCCTGTTCTATGTGTCCTGCCAGGGGAGGAAATACATATAGTTGCGAGGATAATCTCTGCACCTGTAAGTATAATTCAATTAACTTTATTACAAATTCAATTCAATCAAGGTTTATTAAAAAGGGAAGTCAACTCTGGTATTGATAAAAGCAGAAAAATGAGAGAAATAAATCAGTGAAAATTTGATCTCCGATTCAAATGATAAAAGTTATGAATTTTGAAGTTGTCATCAGTGGAACAAAAATTGGCAACACTGACGTATCCTGCGAGCTCCTCTCCAATTCTATCTGTACAGAAAATTTCATAAACTTTAATTTAATTTTCTTAGTTATTGATGACAGTATATTAAGTGCCATATCGGGGTTGTATACAAACTCCTTTAAAAAAAAAGATATTTAGGATAATTGTATAATTGAACATTTTCTGAGGGGAAAATATATTTTTTTTGGAAGTTTTTTAGTAGAACCATTGACCTACTACAAACAGGGCGAATTGAAAAGGACCTCGCAAGATGCGTCACAGAGTTACCAATCTGTATTTGATTGATCGCACCTGCAGCAATTAATAACTGTACTATTTTTAGTCAGTTTTTGCTCAAACTTTCACTGACCTGATTCTTTCATTTTTCTGCTTCTATTAAAATACAATATCAGGTTGAACTACCCCTTTAACCATGACTGGTAGTCACAAACTGAATTATACATGTTTCTACAGTGCAAGTAAAATACCGAATTTATACAAATTGCAGCAATAAGAAAACATGTACAATAGAAAGTAAAATGTACGTGAAATAGATTACATTGATAAAATTGTAAAACAAAAGCCTATAAAAGACTGGTAAATGCATTAGCATTGCATCCAATTACCTCGCTGCTCTCAGTGTAAAGATATTGCACTATAATAATCAGGACTAGGTCAAAGAAAATGAACGGTGTGTTTCTGGAAAGAAAAGTAGACTGCAAGCAACATAAAAGGAGATATTAGATACTGAATAGAGGAAGAAAGAGAGTGGGGGATTCTATTTGAAACAAGAAAGAGAAATACAGGTACCCATTTACACCTGGGCTCGGTTTCATAAAAGTGATAAAACTTACCACCGATGTTAACTTTGCCTTTAAACATTATTGTTGTGATAAGTGGTGGGTGTATTTGATGCGTTTTATTTAACTTCTCACAATTATCCTCTTTGTTTAGTGAACTAATGGCTTGGCAAGGCTGACATGACAACGAGATTGGACTGAACTATACCCAACTACAACACGTCCAAAGTACCTGATTGCAACTTTGAGTTTTACTTCTACGGTTCTACCCATCATAATTTCGGGGTAATGCGCTAAACCGCCACACGAACCACGGCAGGTTCATTTTTTTCGTGTAAAATCTGCTGGTTGTGATTTACTTCATTTAAGATATATAGAGGCCTTCTTTTTATTTTTATTTCGAAGTCTGGGTTGGTAATATTTTAAATGTTAATGCATTGCACACTGCATTCTATTCTTCCTTAATCTTTATTGTTCATGTCTGTGTAACCATTATTTGTTTTAATTTGATCCTATCTGTCTTTTTTTTACCATTATCTAAATCTTGAATTATAGTTTTTATTCATCGTTGAAAGACAATATTTATTATTATCCCTACCATATAGGTTTTTTTCATTAATTCAATTAAATTTTAGTGTGCTAATACTTCTTTTAAAATGAGAATTCTTCTGTCACAGCCCTAATTGTGTTAACAAAATTGAGTCACAAAGGATATACTTGCCGTGGGCCGGGAGCGGCAATATGCGCAGCGCATGAGGCGGTATAGAAGGGTAAATTTTTACCACTTTTCCGGGTGCGGGTGGGGGGGGGGGGGGCCTTTCTTTGCGGGAGAGGCCGGTATAAATATATTAAAAATGGGCCATAACAGGGAAAAATTCAAAAATGGTTGGGAGAATTTACTGTTAATCACTGTTACAGGGGTGTCATACATCGACTCCTTCAAAGAAAACCATATATATCTTCGTGGTTTGAGAGTTTGCTCAGGATTTTTTGCATGTCAGAGGTTTAGTACAGTAGAAGGAATATAGTAAGTAACATTTTATACAAAAATTAAGCAATTTTTTCATCAACCTTCAACAATGTTACCCATTCACTTTGAGCACATGGTGCCGGGCCTGATTTCCTTATCTTTCTACGCTCACTACTCAGCCCCTATACATTTTCTTCCAAAATCGTTTGGCATATGTCATTAATTTGTAATCTTGAACATTCTGTGTAAGTTTTGTTGGATTCTGTGAGAATGTATTTTCTAGCATTGCCAGAACTCAAGCTTATCATAAAGTTACATCTGTTAACGTGATGTGAATGGCTAAGTTGTATCCCTTTTCAATCTTTGATATTAAATGAATCAATTTTATTCAAAGAGGTTTGTCAGTTGCTCTAAATATTCGACCCTTTCTCGAAAATGCTTTTGGTTAAATTATTTGTAACTTATAAGCTCAATTTAATACACTGCGTTGTATTTCTTCTAAATAAAATTCTGGTATTAAAGGGAAAAAAATACATGTTTTTGCATTTTTTATTTGTCTCAAATGGGTTATGTTTCATTTTTAAGTAGGCTGAGGAGGCGAGGAGATGTCCTTATTTTTTGCCCCAAAGAAAGAAAGACCTTGTCAGTGATAAATACGCGTCGTAATGGTTTGGTACAAAAATGTCAGAGGTTAAAAGGCCAGAGTTAAAAATGCCAGGGGTATAGAAAAAAAAGCCCAAAGTAACAATTCTGCACTATCATTTTCGATAGATGCCAGGGGCGGCGATCTAAGGGGAAGGGGGGAAGGACACGTTTCCCCTTAATTTGCTTAGAAGGGGATCGTCCCCCGGAAAATTTGAAAAAAGTGCACACAAAGAAATGTATAGCAAATAGTGACTAAAGACTGCAACACACTTTTAGGCTCTGGAGGGCCCAAGAGGACAGCGTTTAGACTAATAAAAATGCAAACATCTTATCGCTCGGTCGTTACGTTCCCTCGCATAATATCCTTCAAAATGTAAATATTCAAGTAAATATTATTAAAAAAAAGGTACTAACATTTAACTACTAAATATTTACAACCCTTCGGACTGCACACCAATTACCAGCGAAGTAAAAGTGAAGAGAGAAAACGTATATTGCTTGTTTTTATGCTATATAGTTTGCTAAAGAATGCAATTTATTAATAAACAAATTATTTAAAAAAAAACCTGTGAGGGGGTAGTCACTTCCATCACCTTCGCCCCTCTCGTTCACTATGCTCTCACATCCCTCGCATTTAGTCCCCCCCCCCGGTAATGAAAAGAAATCGCCGCCCCTGAAATATAGACGCATTTCCATTTTGCACCTTTCCTTTTCTCAGATCAATTAAAAAAGAAACAATTAAGCAATTAAGCAATTAAGTAGTTTACAGGCCAGGAATTTTGTTTGGTATACTCAGAAATCAATAAAGGGTAGGGAGGAAATAAGAAGCGTAAGACAGGAGAAGATTGTAGATAGAACGACGAAGGTGGTAATAACTGCTACAGTTTATAGAGAGAGGGAGTTAGGCAAAGGCAGAGGAGAAGGGAGAACTGTGCATCAGGTATGGTGTAACTTTAGATACAGAGAGAAGAGAGAGAGAGAGATGAGTGAGGGAGTGAGAGAGAGAGAGAGAGAGAGAGAGAGAGAGGGAGAGAGAGTGAGAGAGAGAGAGAGAGAGAGAGAGAGAGAGAGAGAGAGAGAGAGAGAGAGAGAGCATTTCATAGTCGAAAGATTGATTGATAATATTCGTCGCTGTTTTCACGAAGTGACGGTAGTGAACAAAAATTGCATTGACTTTGCGTTACGATTTATGCGTGATAATGAGAGGAAGATAATTATATAAGGCCGTTATGTCACGCAAATTCCATTACCGTATGACGAAGAAATTACTACAAGGACATCGCGGGAGATAGAGATAGGGGTTGGGGCACGTGCTCCCACCACCGTAATGCATGTTGCACACGTCTGGTGCACCCCCCTCCGGACCCCCCCCCCCCCTGAAAACAATTGAAATGTTATTTGAGTAACCCACATAGATCAATATTAGCTAGCAGAATATAGTTTAGACGTTGTTAATACTGTATACAAACAATTACAATTCTTCCTATATAGAGAAAAAGAAATCGTTTGATTATGGACTTTATGTTATAAAGATATCTTCATTTCAAAATATTGGATTCACCGAGTCAGAATTGACTTTCATATGTCCTTCGGAATCCAATCTGAATATTCATTTTGTGACATTGAAAACCGTATGGTCTCTTTAATTTTCCCATAACCTTTCTTTTTCTTCAATTATTGCTTGTAAAGGTTAACGTTTGCTTATTTTCTGCTAGGCCCTAATCTAATTTAAAATCACGAAATGTATTGGCTAAATTGGTAAGGTCAGTGTACCGTACTACTTTCCCATTTGTTTCAGCATACAAATGAATAAAATGTCAAATGTTAAAATGTATGATTCAGCAGTGTCTTTACTAATAGAGGAGCTGTAATAACAAGCAAAAGTTTAGAAAAGCGCCCGAGGAAGAAAGAACTTGGGAGCAAAGGAGAAATTAATGATATTTTTGAAAAACACAAACAGGAGAGTTGTCCAATGACAATGTCATAATCCGCTGATCAAATTGCCAATTTGAGATTCCTAAGGATTTAGTTATCTCATATTTCAAACATTCATGACTCTCTTATTATTGGTTTGGCTTATTTCAAACTTTCAACATTCTTATTCTTTTAATTTTCTGCTGCCATACCAATGAACTTATTACAAGGGTTGGATTGCCCTTTTGACTCTCGGCAAATGGACATTTATCATTAACACAATTTATGCAAATCCTGTATAAAAAAATTGATACAAGTTGTTTTTCACACCCACCACTTCACAAAGAGGGAAAACTTGCAACATGGACAATTTTAGCCAATCACATAAAATTTATTATTGACATGAATTCATGTACAAGCAAGATCATGTAAAGTACAATGGAATTATAGTGAAATATACTGAGTACTAAATTAATATACATGTATTTTTACCAAAAAATATATCTTAATTTGTGTAAGAAGTGTAAGAAGCAAAATTGATGTGCAGATTCAAAGATTTAGCGTAGAACATAATTCTAAAAACAAAGCAGCCAAAAATGCAGAGCTACCTAAAGGTTCTAATAAGTCTGCCCCCTGTATCCAAGCAAATTTGAAGTTCTCTATATATTACTCTGTATATCCCTGAATACAGATATGTTAGAAAGTAATAGCAACACAAATGGCATCCCTGTTGAAAGCCTTCAGAGTAATATCCATATTTCTACTTTAAAAATTCTTAAATCATTTCAGCCTATGTATTTCTAAAATGCTGGCCTAAATTCGATTTGTGAAAACTTAGGTTTGTTTTCTAATGAGTAAGTTAAGAGCACACATATCACTATGGAAAAAATGTAAATAAATAGCAGGAGAAATAAAGTAAAAGGCAAATGAAACGTTTATTTTTTTTTACCTCTATATAAAAAAATGCATTGTGCCATAACACTTTTGAACTTTGACATAGTTTAAGGTTTCATTAACCTTTCAATAATAATCTAATTTCTATTTCAGATGAAGAGCTTACTTAATACAATCTCTACTAAACATACTTTTAAAACTAAAAGTTATGAAATAATTACATTGCTTTAAAGGGAGGCTTTACTACTTCAGCTAAAAGGGATTAGACCACCCAGTGAGCCAGCGAGGTCACTGTGACAGGTGGCTATCTCATTAACTCAGCTCTCATTTAACATCAGAAAAAGAGGATCATGGGGGACCAACAGGCACCGATTTGGGAAGTTTTCCATATAGAGGGAGCAAGTAGCTACAAGTAGGACAGTGTGCCTTTAAATCACTGATTCTTTTTTTTTGTATATAAACTTTCCTTTCTTTAATAGGAATATAATTTTTAATCAATGATTCAAATAAATGTTGCAAACCCTGATACAGGGTTTTTCAATGCCATTAAAATGTAATTGATTTCAGTGAATTTCTAGCATGAATTGTTGGCTTGTATATAGCAATACAGTCACATATCTGACTACATGTATTTCAGGTTAAAGGGAGGGGGAAGGGGGGGGGGGGGCAACTCTCCCCCCCCCCCCAAAAAAAAAGGAGAAAAGGAAAAAGCAACCACACAACCCAAACTGTAATGTACAAATCGGATCATACCTTCTCATGTGAGCCCAAAAGAGAAATGTTGATCTTAAGTGCAGCATCAATATGATAAAAGTTGAATAAATGTTTTCATGCTACAAATTGCCACCAGCTGCTAAGGAAAAAATAAACTAAATGGAACTTTATCGGACCAACAATTATACGATATATATCTATAATGTATGAATAATGTACACATAACACTATGAATATTGCCATATAAATGTATTCCTTTTATACTGTGACCGTATTCACCCAGGAACTTTCAAATCAGATGACAGAAGCTTTTCTTAGAGAGAGAGAGTCGGAAAAGTATGACTCTCATAATTTTACCAGCTATCAGCAGACAATATATAATTTCAATCAATCTTAATTCTATTCTTACATTTGGTAAGGCTTAGTATATGGCCCTATTTAGTACATTTTCAAGAAAACAGGCAAAAATGAGCATGTCTTTCATGCAATTGTTTTACCATGATTTGTGAGTTTCAAGATGCCCTACCACTTCCCTCAGTGAAGGTATTAGGTGATTTATTCCTTTACAATCTTAGAGCCACCCTGCTCCTATCTTCCTATCCCAATGACCATGCTCCGATACTCTTTGGATAAACTCAGTACACTTACACTTATAA